CCTATGAAAGGGAGAGTTCAGCTAGGAAGGAAAACTGTGCTTATCATATAATGCCTTAATGTTGTAATTACATTCACATAGACACAAACTCCTGCTACTATTAATACTAATATAATTAAAGCTTTCTTCTCTGGTAATGTTGCTACTCGCTGACGACTGTTGCTGCAAGAAGCTTCAGTGAAAATAACATCAACAGAACGCTTATACATGCTTGGAGTTGAAACAGCTGCTAAAACACTTATGTCAGTATGTGTAGTCGACCGTCTGGGTCACAGGTCGACCGTCTGGGTCACAGGTCGACCGTCTGGGTCACAGGTCGACCGTCTGGGTCACAGGTCGACCGTCTGGGTCACAGGTCGACCGTCTGGGTCACAGGTCGACCGTCTGGGTCACAGGTCGACCGTCTGGGTCACAGGTCAACCGTCTGTGTCACAGGTCGACCGTCTGTGTCTCAGGACGACCGTTTGTGTCTCAGGACGACCGTTTGTGTCTCAGGACGACCGTTTGTGTTACAGGTCGACCGAGTGTGTCGCAGGTCGACGGGCTGTGTCACAACACGCCCTCTCACTTCCCTCTCTCATCTGAGACACCCTGAGGGCTTTTCTATCCGCTCTAAAGACATCAGCTTTATTGTATCTATTGTTAATATATATATAAATTCTTGAATAGTTTAGTTTTGTTTTTTAACCCGAATCGTGTTTTAATTTGTTGGGTATTTGGGCGGCTGATGCATGGATTACATCGTGTTATTTCCAGCGGGTAATTTTTATTTTGTCTGAATGCATTCACCTTCCGTCCTTCCTACGCCCTTTCCCTATCTCCCTCGTGTGTGTGTCTCTCTCTCTCTCTCTCTCTCTCTCTCTCTCTCTCTCTCTCTCTCTCTCTCTCTCTCTCTCTCTCTCTCTCTCTCTCTCTCTCTTTCTCTTCAAATGAGAGAGAGAGTTATTCACTGTCTTTTTCCCCATCCACTTAGCCTGACCACTAGTACTGAATTCAAATGTGGGATGACCACAATCACAGTCAAGCCTGCTGTAGTCATAGTGATTGGTCTATTAATACACACACTATTGTGTGTCAGGCTTCTAACCGACGTCAACGCATGAGACTGATAGAAGTAATTCGTTAAATAAAACAGCAATAACGCCAGTTTTGCCAATGTTATTCTAGGTCTCTTAATGAAAAAAAATAACAAATGATCTACCTCTTGCTATTCCCGCAAAATGTTTTCATGCCTTAGTAGACCATTTGTGTTTGCGTAAAAAGTTATAATGCAGGCAATATAAGCCTGCGAAGTGGGAGCTACAGATAACACGAAGGAGAATGTCTTTGTGAATATTGGGTGTTTATACAGAGCTTTGATGGAAGACGCGGGAGTCTAGTATGCAGATTGAGCACAAGGAGAATCGCGCGGGGTAACATTTTGGGCTTTACTCATCCACCTGCCATGGGAGTAGCGGTGTATGTGAGAGAGGCTGCGATACAAAGTGAGGAATACAGCTGAGAACCAGGCTGAACAATACCTGCAGGAGTGGCAGTGGTGAACGATACCCGACTGAGATATTTGAACGATATCTGGCGGAAAGAAAGGTGGAACGATATCTGGCGGAAAGGAAGGTGGAACGATATCTAGAAGGGTGGTATAACTCGAGAATAAGCCACAGTTTACACCGAAGCTAATCCATGGTTTATACCGAAGGTAATCCGTTGTTCATACCGAAGGTAATCCATAGTATTAGCGAACGATACTTGTAACATTAAACGAGAATAATGCACGGTATTTAACCAGACAAAATATCGGTATGAATTGTTATACCCGAACCACGTGATTTGCCTGGTTTTCACACCGAACAAGTTAAAATATCAAGAGATGTTGGCTACGCCTTTGAAATATTTCGGACGTCCCAATCAGGATCTGTCGAATATATTGTCCGTTTTTCTCCACTTAGATCTCCTGCCTCCTCCTCCACGTCTTCCGGGTACCGATATATATATATATATATATATATATATATATATATATATATATATATATATATATATATATATATATATATATATATACTGAAAAAATTCGGTATTATGGTGCTGTAACTTGTACAAATATGTAGCATTTTGAAGATATAAAATAATTCCTTAAAAAATATGACGTATCAGGTTAGAGGCCGAGTTGAGCCGATGATAGGGAAGATAGGTGGCTTAGTTTTGTCAGCTTCTGGTTAGGGAAAACCTGTTCAGAGTGTATCGCTTGTCAAAGAGTGATTACGTTTATGAACATGTATTGACTGGTGTGAACTAGCTAATATGTGCAGGCGGTAGGAAAACCTGTGCTTGAGGTAGAACAACATGTGCTTGAGGTAGAACAACATGTGCTTGAGGTAGAACAACATGTGCTCGAGGTAGGACAACATGTGCTCGAGGTAGAACAACATGTGCTCGAGGTAGAACAACATGTGCTCGAGGCAAGACAACATGTGCTCGAGGCAAGACAACATGTGCTCGAGGCAAGACAACATGTGCTCGAGGCAAGACAACATGTGCTCGAGGCAAGACAACATGTGCTCGAGGCAAGACAACATGTGCTCGAGGCAAGACAACATGTGCTCGAGGCAAGACAACATGTGCTCGAGGCAAGACAACATGTGCTCGAGGCAAGACAACATGTGCTCGAGGCAAGACAACATGTGCTCGAGGCAAGACAACATGTGCTCGAGGCAAGACAACATGTGCTCGAGGCAAGACAACATGTGCTCGAGGCAAGACAACATGTGCTCGAGGCAAGACAACATGTGCTCGAGGAAGGACAACATGTGAAACCTGCTGAATCTGTTACTTGCGGGAGGCACTTTAGGTTAGTTAATAAGATTATTCATAACTTAAAGGGATTAATTTTTAACTTCGGCAATCTTCCTAAGAAGTATATAAGAGACTTAACTACTCTTCGAAAAGATTCAAAAACTCTTGTGTGCAAGAATTTCGAACATAGTGAATAAAAAATGAGTAGTGATTTTTATTTATCTTTCCATGTAGACATCATCACTGTAACCACCATTACAGGGGGGGGGGGGGCTGACAGCTGAGTGGACAGCATTCGGGATTCGTAGTCCTAAGGTTCCGGGTTCAATCCCCGGTGGAGGCGGAAACAAATGGGCAGAGTTTCTTTCAAACTGATGTCCCGGTTATCTAGCAGTAAATAGGTACCTGGGAGTTAGACAGCTGCTATGGGTTGCTTCCTGGGGTTGTGTAACAAACAGCAGGCTTGGTCAAAGACCGGGCCGAGGGGACGCTAAGCCCTGAAATCATCGTGAGATAACCTCTAAAGAAGATAACCATCCCTATTAATGTCAACATTGTAATCATCATTATTGTCGTCTTCATCACTATAATATTTATTTTGAAAGGGTTGGTAGGCATCAACCCAGATAACTAACAATACAGCATAAGATAACCATTCCTACACTTTAAATAATTTACTAACGAATGGTATCCGATTGTCTAACGGGAATCACCCATCCAGCTATATTTTCCCCCTCATTCTCTCGTCATTGTGAATTCCAACTTTTCCAGGAACATAAACTTGATTGTTTATATTCTAAACAATCAAGTAAACTATTTAAGAATGAGTAATGTATGTAATTGTGTAGCAGATCTTTAGGTCAGACTAAAACAACTGGTCGTAGAGAAAGCAGGAAGACATACAGCTGAATATCTGGGAATTAGGAAAGAATGACTGCCACAAAGAAATGGCTTACCAATAAGCATTTTAAGTCCAGTTGAAATAAAATCTATGTTACATGAGCTGTTGTAGACGAGGAGTCACAATAACGTGGCTGAAATATGTTGACCAAACCACACACTAGAAAGTGAGGGGACGAAAGTCATCCCTTCACTTTCTAGTGTGAGGTCTGGTCAACATGAGCTGTTGATTCAGAGAGATTTTGATCCAGGACAGCCTTAAAATATGTTAATATAACGTGATTATGGTGCGCAAGTTTCTTTGACTTCATGGTATAATTACTTTATTTTAGTGTTCTGCCAAATTGGTTTCTCATTATCCTTATTTTATGACATGTTTTGTCAATATCTGTCTCGCTACGCTAATGTAAACTACACATTGTTTCACCAATTTATATCACTATTCAGTTTACAAACTAAATGTTGTTCCTTTTATGTACAAAAATGTAAATACAATTTACACGGCTGTACACCTCCTTAGTCTATTCGTTGTAATAACAACTTGTGTAAGCTGGTACGTAGAAAGTTTCTAATTCTATAAAGAGTATATCTTTTTAAAACATATGTGACACCAGTTCTTACGTCTCATCTCGCATCAAAGCATCACGGAGAAGCACAATTTACAGCATCCCTGCGTTGTTTGCATTTGTGTGTGAGTGTACTCGCTTAGTTGTGCTTGCATGGGTTGAGCTCTGGCTCTTTGGTCCCGCCTCTCAACTGTCAATCAACTGGTGTTCAGATTCCCGAGCCTATTGGGCTCTATCATATCTACATTTGAAACTGTGTATGGAGTCAGTCTCCACCACATCACTGCCTAATGCATTCCATCGGTGTGTACTCACCTAGTTGTGCTTGCGAGGGTTGAGCTCTTTGGTCAGCCAGTCTCTGGTCTGGTCTGGTTTGGTCTTTAGGCTGTGTATACTCACCTAATTGTGTGTGTGTGTGTGTGTGTGTGTGTGTAGACTTATGTAACAACGCTACGAAAAGTTGATGATAAATCAATTGTGGCCTGAGTGTTGTCTGAACCGTAAGCTCTCCCTAAACAGCGCCATTAACACACAATAAATCAATGTATAAACAAAGCTTGCATATATCTTAAAAGTCACCAGATGTAAACAGCCATGACTCACGCACGACCGTCGTGTCAGAAGAGCGTTTTAAACCATCACTCACAACATGTAAATCGCGTTTTTCTCTCAGAAAGTACACCCTTATACCTTACTCAGTATTAACCAGAAGTACCTGAGGCTCATCTATCTCCCTTGCAGCACCTTCATGCCCGGAGGTGGGACTGGGCATGGTGGCCGAGAGAGTAGGGGAACAATGCCTCTACTTCCCTCTCGGTCTGCAGCTCAACTGGACGTCTGCACACCGCCGTTGTCAAGAGCTGGGAGGAGACCTGGCCGCCCCTCAGGACCTGGTGCCTCTCAAGACCTTCCTCCACCAGGCGTTCGGTGAGTCCTGGCCCTCAGGGAGATGGGGTAAGAGAACCGGGGGAAACACGCAAGGTGAGTGACAAGTGTGTGTGAAGCAGGCACAGTGGTAGGAATCATGGCGAGTCATGATTCTTCAGAAGCTAGGTGTAATAATGGGCTTGAGATAAGTTAATTGTGTAAGAGAGATAGGGAGACGGGGCAAGAAAAAGGTGGAGAGATAAAGAGGGAGAACGGGAGAGGGGGGGAAGCAGATGAAAGAAGTCAGAAATGGGTCCAGAGAAATAGACATGGATAGAGGCGTACTCTGATTTCTTGTTCGGCTCTACCATTGTCTCTCTGTGTGCTTCTCGGTCTGTCTGTCTTGGTCTATGTCTGTCTCAGTCTGTTTCGGTCCATGTCACTTTGAATGACTGAATTATTGTTTCTTTACTTCGGTTTCTGATTATTGTATGTTCATATTTCTATGTCTATCTCGGCCTTTGTCTGTTTCAGCCTGAGTCTAGTTCGGTCTGTATCTGCCACGGTCGATCTCTGTTTCAGCCTTTATCTATTTCAGCCTTTATCTGTTTCAGCCTTTATTTGTTTCAACCTTTATCTGTACCATTCTGTGTCATTCTGTGTCTGTCTCAATCTGGATTTGCCCCGTATTGTGTCTGATTATGTTTATCTTTCTATTTCTGCTATGTCTGCAGGAATTTTAAAGAGTAATACAGAAAAATAATAATTATGATACCTGAAATTGCCCCACACTACATTACCATGTCAGTATTATGAAGTTAAATCAGGTCCTCAAGTTAATGCCCACTGTGTGTGGTTCATCTGTAGTGCAATCTAGAATTAATTAATACTTGCCATAATGATGAGAAAACTTGCAAGGGAAGAGAGACGAGAATGAGACAGCTAATGTACTTCACGAACCTCTGGAAGCAATATCCGTCACACAACTCTGGAAGCAATATCCGTCACACAACTCTGGAAGCAATATCCGTCACACAACTCTGGACGAAATATCCGTCACACCTTTGGAAATCCTGTCTGTCACGCACATCTGTAACCATTGTATGTCACATGGATCCGGAAACAATGCCCAACGCATGCCTCTGGGAACAATGCCCATTGCATGACTCTGGGAACAATGCCCATCGCATGCCTCTGGGTACAATGCCCATCGCATGACTCTGGAACAATGCCTCCTTGAATCGTCTGAATTAGAATCAGACAAGAGTTTCAATGAAGATGGCTTTGTCAGAGGCAGCTACACAGATGTCAGAATCAGGCGCAAACAAGTTGAGATCATTTTTAGCATCAGGCCAGAGTGTGCGCTGGAAGATGAAAGTTTACAAGCCTACTTTTTTAATTAAAAAAGTTGTATTTAAAAGTTTGGACACAGTGATTCTTAACGCGGAATTCTAAAGAATAGCTGTAGGATCTAAAGACTTCATTCCGTCGCTGAATGCCTTCAAAACACGGCTTACGGAACCATGGTTCAGAGGTGGATGTTCACGAATTCAAGGAAAATGGAACGTAAGCTTCTTTTTCAGTAATGTTAATATCAGTGTGCTTCTTGGAACGCAAAGTTGTGTCATGCCAGGAGAAGCAATAGCCATCCCATGGGAAATCAAACAGCAAATTCCTAAGGTAAGTCCAGTCAAACGGAAAAAAATGCCCAAAGGATTGAGAATTAAGGCAATATCAAAGAAATAAAAATGGGTTGTACCCATTGAGACATTAGGTGAATTAAGATGCTTCTAAGGGAGCAGAGTACTTCCTTCTTTCAAAAAGCGAGATTTATTAAAATAAATCACATTAAACATACAAAAATCCATGAACAATATGAAATATTTAAGAAATATTATTTTAAATGAAACTATTATATGCATTTAGCGAGACTTAACTGTGAAGCTTTCCTGAATGGTCACTTCGTGCTTGTTTCATATTAATCATATTTATAAGAAACTAAGTTGATAGAATTGAAATGATTATTTATTAAAAGGACTCGGACGATATCCATATTCTAATAGAGCAGTAGTCCACAGTCTGCTTGAGTAATGATTTACAGATTGCCAGAGCATGAGAATCTGCTAGAGCCTGCTAGCTCTAACAGGCTGTGGACTAGCTCTAACATCATGCTAGAGCAGTAGTTTACAACTTGCTAGAGCGGTAACCTAATTTTACAATAGACAGGTGGACATAGAAAAAGTATTATTTTCATCATTTAGCACTCAAGCGTTAGTTTTATTGCTCTACAGAAAGTTATAATGATGGCTTTTTACTATTGAAAATATATAAAAATTAACTGTTGAAAATATATAAACATTTAAAAGTTCAACGCTATAATTTGTAAAGTACAATTTTAAATCATTTCGCAAATAATTTGTGTTCTGTTATTGTTGGTATGCAAATTGTTTGTTGCTAAAACGAGAAAACTATATATTAAAGTCTATCTATCTGTGTATATATATATATATATATATATATATATATATATATATATATATATATATATATATATATATATAATGCAAAAATAGAGGAAACAATGCAGTTGGATTTTGTAAGATAGCGTGTAAAAAATATTAGGACATATATCATCTTTAAACAATTAAAATTATGATATGATATATGCTTCTATTATATTGCAGTTATACTACACCATACACTTATTTCCACACTTAGCTGCTAATATTAAAACTACTGAGACTACGGGTGCTACCCACTACTGCTTACTTTGAACCTTCCCTTTGCCAACATTGTAGACTCGTATTGTTATACTGTTTCTACGACAATTCTATGATCTCTTAGCTCATCCATTTTTAACATTAACGAAGATAGAAAATGATTATATCTTACATTTTCTCTTGTTTTTTCTAGTTCGTGGACCCTCGTTATGGCTGGGTGCGTCTTACGCACTAAACGACATCGACACGACGAGCGTTGATTCTATTGTCGCGTCGCAAGGGTCTCCTAACGGCTTCCAGGAGGATAAGAAGAACAGTTCTGGGGTTACTCAAGACACCAGTATAAATCAAAGATCTTCCAGCCATTCCCTGGAAGACAGTAGAGGAGATATTGCACTCGTACAGGACCAAGTTGTGTTGTCGAGCCCTCCCGATAATATGCTTTTAGACGAAGGCCATAGCGATAATGTACAAGCTGCAGGGGAAACTGCAGGAAGCTGGTCGAGAGTTTTAGATGAGGCCATGTTTAATGAGGATTTCGTTAGAAATGGCGGAATAATAAGCGCCCCTCGTCGACTCTCGAAGCCTCAACAGAGCAGCCTGAAGCTTGCCATTCGTGACTCTCCAGGAAGACAGGGTCTTGAAGAGATGATCCGAGATGCCTCAGTCGTTGACTTTATCCTTCTTGAGGAATCAGTGGACTCTGCTGTTCCCCCAGTCGAGGCTTCGAATGATCAGAACCTCCCAGAATATTCAAATCCGGATGAGCGCTCTGTTTCGGGAACCTTAGCAGATATTCATCTAGACGCTGCGAGCACACAGCCTAGAAATTCAAGTGACGAAAGATCACTTCTTGGACACGAAGTTAGGGACACGGAAAGTGGTGGAGGCTTAGAGACGCAAGAAACAAATGAGAGTAAAGGGGCCAAGAAGGCCCGGATGAAGTGCATGCTGCTCCAGCAGAAGGAATCCCTGGAATACGAGCTCATAGGACGACCGTGTGATGAGCTACACACCTTCGTTTGTGACATGAAGTTCGCTTTTGATAATCTATTGCACGAGTGATATTTCTCTTAACTCTAAGGAGTGTACATATACCTTGAACCTTATAACCAAAATACTTGTTAGCAGCATAAGAAAAATATGTCAGCAGTGTTAGAATGAAGTATAGAGTGCTTTTCTCTGCTGTCTTTGAACACTAGCAAGCTTTCTGAACACATGAATCATACCCCTCTTGAAAAAGTGCAGTGGCAGTGAATTTGTAAAATGATATATGTATATGTGTGTGTATATATATATATATATATATATATATATATATATATATATATATATATATATATATATATATATATATATAATAATATAATATAATATAATCTTTTCATAGCAAGGTGGTATGAGCTAAGGTAGCAGGTGGAGTCTCTTGCTGCTTATTGAACATATAAATCTTATCTAAGGTCAGTTGTTTAAGATGTTCGTGTATTAATAGTTAAAACTGTTTTATACTCAATGTACTTGGATTTTTCTGAACATTCAGCATATTGTATATTATTGAAGAAAAATATTTGGGGGTTTGCTACCATTTAATTTTATGTTTAAGTTATAAGTATGTAATATACTCGCATAATTCGCATTACTTTACAAATAGGCTTAAATTACCTATAGCTATATATTATGTCTTAAGCTGAATAAATCTTTCTGATTGATCAAATTTAATTATAAGTTATGAAATTAAACTTTCTGCAGTATTAGCCGTCTCATGTTATATATAATTAATGTACACTGTTTGTCTTTATTTTCAGATATATGACAGCCTCAGAGACACTAAGTTTTGAACAAGAGATTAGAGGTATAAGCAATAATGTGGTTATTCGCTGAATTGTTGGAATTTAGCCAAAATCCTTAATCATCATATAAACAATATATTTGATACGATTTTGAAATAAATAATAGATGGAAGCATTGTCAACCCTTAAAAATTATTGTAATAACTAATACCCAACGATTTTTGTGATTTTTTAAAAATAGTAATATAGTTTTTAAATATTATCAGAGATACTTTTCTGAATGCTAATTTAGAATAGAATAAAAAAACAGCTGTATTTTAATAATTCAGCGAACAGCAACACAATTATATATATCTAAAATCTCTTTTATGTATAATATGAATGTGCATGTTATTCAATATGACCGAGAGTGTTAGGCAAATAATGCTTGCCCGACTCTTCTATATATATATTTTTTATTTTCTTTACTTGGGAAAGAAACTGGAAAATTAACTCTCCTAAATATGCTTCAAATTTTACATTTTGCCTTTGAACGAGACAGGTTCCGCTGAAGCACTCTCCAAACATCTTTTTAAGTTAGGGGGAAAATATATAAAAATTTATAGCAGAGATATTATATGTCCGATATAGGATGGGTCGAGGTGAGGTGTTTACCAATAGAGGACGACTGGATAATCTTACATTTTCATGGGTTGGCTGGTGAAGTTGGTGTGGTGTGAACTGACAGTTCTGTTTTACTTCAATAAGTGATTAGACAACTTTCTTGATTCATTCCATTCACCTGGGCTGTAGGAGATTCGAACCGTTGACCCCATGCGTGTGAGGTCGAAGCTCTATCGACCGAGCTGTTTATTTAACCTTCCTCATATTCCTCTCCTTTTTCTCGTATCACATGCATGTTTCAGGTGTCAAATTTTCACCTATATTTCTGTGACTTACTACCTGCATACTATCTGCATATTTAAGCATACTGATTTTTGAACACTTTCATTATATCCGGTACCACACTGATGTACATTCTTATTTATATAATATGTATAATTGGACATATGTCTATTTACTTGCATAAATCTTTCAAGAAATTGGTGTAATTCTTAGGACACTATTTCCACTCATTATATCTTTCCCACTGTCTATTATCATAGATCATTCCCGTTTTACCATTTAGACTATCAATTTGAAATTATTCGATTACACCTATGATTCCCCACGATTTTATTCTATATTATCCCCCCCCAAGTTACATCCTTCCTCATAGATATCTCACTTCTTCCATCACTAGGAGCAAATGCAATAAATATTGCCCAACCGTTACTCTTTCAATCTTGTATTTCACTCGCAAGCACATTGAACTGTTGCTACATGTTATTCATTAAGTCAATCCATATCACACATTATTCCTGAATAGTTATAATATCAAATTACTATTATTTTTCCGTAAAATAAATAATCGCATTCCACATTGAATTTTGTCACTTGGACAGTGGATATCAGATTTGTTGAGCGATTATGTAGCAAGAACCTGATGCTTACTTTTGTTCATCTGGGGACCTGAATGAAAAAAGACTCGACAAAGCAATCTACAATAAGTAGCTTGCTTTGTCGAGTCTACAAACTGCCGCAGAGGAGTCGAGCATTGTGTCGACTCCTCTTAAATATGTATTTAAATGAACATGACCTGAGGTACTCAACTGTGTGATGATATTCTATGAAGTTGGAAGGACGTGGCATTAACTATTCCTACTGTAACTCTTATTCTGTAACGTGACTCTTGATACTGTTTTTTTTAGGATACCCCTGAAAGAATTTGGATGTATTTGTTAATCATAAGATTTTGTCATATAAGCGGATTTTGATTAAATTATCTGTTTTTAGTGGTCGTGTATGTCACCTCTAGAGCGGTTCCTATATATTGACTTTGAGGAGTCAAGGGTAGGTTAGGACCTTACTCTGATTAATGCTACACTGCTGCTTGCAGCGTTCAGCTCCTGTAATGTGTTTGCAGTTCTACTGGACTAGAGTGTCACCGGATATAACACTGTCCACTGGCTCACTGCCCAACAGTTTAGTCCTGTGGACAAATATATTCATCATCTGGTATTTACCCAAGTTAACTTGTAGTTCAAGAAGATTTTGATAGGAATTCACGATTTAAAGTCTTAAGGAACATTTATCGTTATGTATTTCTAATACACACTTAAATATTTTAAATATATTGATATACGAATATATATATATATATATATATATATATATATATATATATATATATATATATATATATATATATATATATATATATATATATATATATATATATATATGTCGTACCTAGTAGCCAGAATGCACTTCTCAGCCTACTATGCAAGGCCCGATTCGCCTAATAAGCCAAGTTTTCATGAATTAATATATTTTCTCTAATTTTTTTCTTATGAAATGATAAAGCTGACCATTTTATTATGTATGAGGTCAATTTTTTTTTATTGGAGTTAAAATTAACGTAGATATATGACCGAACCTAACCAACCCTACCTAACCTAACCTAACCTATCTTTATAGGTTAGGTTAGGTTGCCGAAAAAGTTAGGTTAGGTTAGGTAGGTTAGGTAGTCGAAAAACAATTAATTCATGAAAACTTGGCTTATTAGGCAAATCGGGCCTTGCATAGTAGGCTGAAAAGTGCGTTCTGGCTACTAGGTACGACATATATATATATATATATATATATATATATATATATATATATATATATATATATATATATATATAATAAATCTCTATCAGACCCTATTCCCTATTATATAATACGGCTACAAATTGTTATAAATATATAAAGAATTACCTTGGGTTACTCAGGATAAACAAACACATTTCATTCAGAATTTTAGATTTATTACAAAGACACAGTTACAGCTCTTGCCTACTATAATGCTGAATGATTGGTAATTAAAAAACAAGCAAATATTATGAGTAGAATTTTCTGTATGCGAGAAAACAAATGGCACAACATATTGGACAAACTACAGCAGTTCCGAACCAATGTAAGGATGCCAGAGTTTCATAGTCTCTTAAAGCTGTGTGTGAACCTGTTATACCACCTTCATCTAGGTAGTCTTGAACACCACTAACTCAGTATTGAGAGAACGTCTTGCCTTACCACAGTTTATACCATGGCTATCCTGAAACATTATCAGAGATTGATATATTGGTTAATACCGAACACATGTTGTTAGAAGACTAGATATATTTGTTTTATTTAGACACAGTTGAAGGGTTTGACACTCTGGCTGATGACTATGATGGAACTCGCCTGAGTTGGGTTGTAACAAACATTATATTTTGTCTGGCAACGCATCTGAACACCGTTGTCAGATAATGTATGCTTGGCACAGCAGTTACCAGTGTTTTATATGGAAGATTAATAAATTAACAATATATATATATATATATATATATATATATATATATATATATATATATATATATATATATATATATATATAATATGTCATAATTTAATTACGTTACTAGATTACGCATTTGTGTTTCGTCCTGTGGAGAATAAAATTAGTTCATTAATTGGAATTAATGATATGATTCACCCATCTCAGTAAAGCTTACAGTGTTCCCCATGGCGTGGGAGTGAAATGACCTTATCTTTATGTTAGGAATTGAAAATATTTATCTGGAGGTCGAGACAGGGTAACACTTGCACTAAATTGGTTCAAGATGAAGGTTTAAAAGCAACTGATGCCCTGTTTAGCACTTCTTATTTCTAAGTTATAAACTTAAAAAATCATTTTGAATGATATTTATGTTTGTAATATGTATATGACAAATTATCACTATGGTTTCATAACAAAATGAAATTTATCACGTTAGAAAATGGTAAGAAGTAACTTTACATATTTAGTAATTGCAGTTTATCAAAGCAGGCTTTTAAATGTTTTTTTTTTTATAAATATATAAAATTAAAGACAAGCCGCTTTATTTAATATGATTTAAAGGAGTTTTAAAATCCTTATACTGAAATTTTAACTGAACTTCCATTCAAAATTTGTTAATGGGTATTTCAAAATATATACATTTAGATGAGTTTAGGTTCGAAATTGCTGTGTTTTTTCTTCCTGATTTACGGCGAAACATCATAAAATACATACCTGTTGATGATTTTTTGTTCTAACACATGCTGGGAGAGACGTGCTGGGCAGACCTAACAAGGACCTTGAATTACCTCATTGACCATCTTCATTCAACACACACATGCAAACACAAACACTCAACAAACATAAACACTCAACAAACACGAACACCTCTTAGAATATATATAATCACTATCTTCCCCTTTATAAAAGTCACACCATTCATTACTCTCAACCTTGTGAGATGATTTAGCTGGAAAGCCACAATGGCAATCGCAATGTCTGGAGTGCTTGAGGTGTTTGCGTGCGCGTGTGTGTGTGTGGGTGTGTGGAAACGGATGACTGAGGGCTCTTCCCTGCACTCTCACAGGACACGTGTGTGTGTGTGTGTGTGTGTGTGTGTGTGTGTGTGTGTGTGTGCGTGCGCGCGCGTGCGTGCGTGCGTGTGTGTGCGTACTCACCTATTTGTGCCTGCAGGATCGAGCGTTGGCTCTTGGATCCCGCCTTTCCAGCCTTCGGTTGTTTAAAGCAATGATTCCTGTTCCTACTTCCCTATCATACCTAGTTTTAAAGCTATGAATAGTGTTTACTTCCACAATATGTTTCTTTAGTTCTTTCCATTTCCCCACTACTCTCACGCTAAAAGAAAACTTTCTAACATCTCTGTGACTTATCTGAGTTTCCAACTTCAACCCATGTCCCCTTGTCCTATTGGTATTCCGTGTGAATTCTTCGTATTTTTCCACTCTGTAAATCTCCCTAAGTATTTTGTATGCTGCTGTCATATTTCCCTGCTCAATCCTTATTTCTAACGTCGTCAGGTTCAGTTACTTCAGTCGCTCTTCATATCCCATCCCATGCAACTCTGAGACTAGCCTTGTCTCAAATTTCTGAACGTTTTCCCGTTTCTTAACGTATGCCTTCTGGTGAGTTGGGGGGGGGGGGCTCCATGATGGCATGATGGGCTGCATACTCTAAGACTGGTCTCACGTAGGCAGTGTAAAGCGCTCCAAATGCCTCCTTATTTAGGGTTTGAATGACGTTCTAACTTTTGCTAGCGTAGCGTACACTGCTGTCGTTATCCGATTTATATGTGCATCAGAAGTTAGATTTGCTGTTACGTCCATTCCCAAGTACTTTTCTCGAATCATCACAGATAGTTTTTCTTCATTGTGTACTGACCCTTTGGTCTCCTGTCATCTAGTCCCATTTCCATAACTTTACACTTTCTCGTGTTAAACTCCAGTAGCCATATTTCTCTGACCATCTCTGCAGCTTGTTCAAGTCCTTTTGGAGTATCTTACAATCGTCATCTAACACATCTCGTCTCATTAATTTCGCGTCATCCGCGAACATCGACTCATAGGACTCGTTTCCTGTAGACATGTCGTTCACGTATATTATTAATATAACAGGTCCCAGCAACGATCCTTGAGGTACTCCACTCGTTACAGTTCGCCAGTCTGACTTCTCGCCCCTGACTGTTAGTGTCTGGCTCCGCCTGTTTAGCAACTCTTTACCCAAGCAAGGGCTTTTCCGCTTACTCCCGCTTGCCTCTCAAGTTTGAATAGCAGTCTCCTGTGCGGTACTGTGTGAAAGGCTTTTTGGCTGTCCAGGAATATGCAGTCTGCCCATCCTGCCTTATTCTTATACTTTATCATTAAAGTCCAGAAGATTTGTTAGGCATGATTTCCTTTCTCTGAACCCATGTTGGTGTTTACATACCTAATGTTCTCTAGGTTCAAGCCAGTCATAACCTGATTATTCTTTCAAGTAATTTACAGGGGGTCTATAATGATTCATTATAGATTCTTGCCAGAGGCACGCTGAGGGCCTGCGCTGCCTCTTTTAGTATCCACGGTGATACTTTGTCTGGTCCAACTGCTTTAGTTTCATGCAATGTTGTTAACTGTTTCATTACCTCCTCTGCTGTCACCTCTATAGCTGTTAGTCTCCCATTTTGGGTCACCTCCTCTTCTAACAATGGGAGCTGCTCAGGCTCGGTTGTGAACACTCCATGGAAACTGACATTCTCGCCGATTTCCTTGTCGCTTTCTGTACATGCCTCTTTTGTTTTTCTCAGTCTTGTCACTTGGTCGTTCACCGACATTTTCCTTCTTATATGACTATGTAATAATTTAGGTTGCTGGTTTCACTTTCATTGTAATATCGTGTTCATATTTCATTTTCGATACTCTCCTTATATTAATGTATTCATTCCTAGCTCTGTTGCATCTAATCTTATTGTCATGTCCTTTGTCCTCAATATTTTCTCCATTCCCTCCTACTTCTCATTTTTGCTTCCTGGCACTGTCTATTAAACCATGGGTTTTTATATTCCCTCGTACTTTTCTTCATTCACTGTTGGAATAAAACTCTCTTCGGCCTCCCAGCCACTTGGACTGGATGGTAGAGCGACGGTCTCGCTTCCTGCAGGTTGGCGTTCATTCCCCGACCGTCCAAGGGGTTGGGCACCATTCCCTCCTTCCCCCCGTCCTATCAAAAATCCTTATCCTGACCCTTTGATAGTGCTATAAAATCGTAATGGCTTGGCGCTTTCCCTCATTAATTAAAAAAATAATTCGGCCTCCTTGCATTTCCACTTGACTACGTCCATCATATTTTGCAGTGTTGTTCCTCTTAGTTGCTCTTTCCACTGCACTTCTCCCAGATATTCACTTATCCTCTTGCAATTCCCATTCATATAGTGTACTGTGTGTGTGTGTGTGTGTGTGTGTGTGTGTGTGTGTGTGTGTGTGTGTGTGTGTGTGTGTGTGTGTGTGTGTGTGTGTGTGATAGGGGGGAAGTAAGGGACAGGCCCCGCACGCTCACCACAGCCTACTCTGGGACAAAGGAAGATAGAAACACGTACCTGGATGTGATCAAATCAGCTGATGGTTAAGCGAGACACTGCATGCAGTTCTTTGATTAGATTTTTCTGCAACCATTGTACTTATATATAACATATATCTGCAACATATATATATATATATATATATATATATATATATATATATATATATATATATATATATATATATATATATATATATATATATAAATTGATATTAAAAGAGTTGTCAAATACGACGAACTTCCTTGAGATTTAAAATACTTTTTCAAATTTAATATTTATTTACATAAAGATTTATTGAATTAAATCAGTTTAAAATGCATGCCAATATTTTAATTTAAATTAGAACTAATTTAGAACGTTATTCTAACTTAGATAAATCTATTATTCCTTAACATTGCCTATCCTAAGCAAATTTAGCCTTGCATATGTATTTGGAAGAGTAATAACACCAATACATGAAAGAGTTGTGCGTTAGAAGCCGCGACGACAGAGAAAGGATAAATCTGAGTGTTTTGATGTAAATAATGGTTTATTGTGTGGGGTTAAGACCTAATTTGGAGGATTACTGAGGCCACTGCAATAAGATACTGAACAAGCAGTATGTATTCTGTATTACTGTGTCTTGCCCAGGGCTAAAGAAAACACGGTGTATATACACCGTGAATCAGGGTTGACCTCTCGGTGTGTATATCCTCGTGTCTTTTGAGTATTTAATACATTATCAAGACGTACATCATAGCTAGGAATGTTATAGATGTGAATGCTAGTTTTCATAAACAAAATGTGATATAAAAAGATTTTTTTTTTGTAAAACAGGATGTAATACTGTTTTTAACTTTGCTATAGATATCTCGCATTTCTTATCAGTTCTAAAACTGGTAAATAAATAAATATGTAAATAAATAAATAAATAAAATATATATATATAAATATATTCAGCAGAATTAATTAATCTAGTTAAATATATTTTTATATATGCAATTCTAATATTAAAATATTTTTGTTTAACAGTTGATAATGCATTTTAAATAAAAGCAAATTGTCTATAAACTGGAGTTGGTAAGAAATGCTATAAATATAGAGGTGTATTCTGCTTCTCGGTGTATATCCCGCAAGTATACTTTAGTCCTGTATTATGTATAGGACTAAAGTATACTTGCTCGCTGGTCAGTAAGCTATTGTAGCTGTGTTAATAACCTTCCGAAGGATGACAGGCCTTAAGCCCAACACCAAACCTAAAAAGAGGTTACAAGGATAAATTCAGTGTCACCTGTAGTTAGTCATGCTTTTGTCTGTTGTTCATGATGCTTTGTGTCTAAAGTCTTGTGTATAAATGTTTTTGATATTGGGGTAAAGAAAGAAATTAATTTTGGATTTATCGTTTCTCTAAATCATTTATATATATATATATATATATATATATATATATATATATATATATATATATATATATATATATATATATATATATATATATATATGTCGTACCTAGTAGCCAGAACTCACTTCTCAGCCTACTATGCAAGGCCCGATTTGCCTAATAAGCCAAGTTTTCATGAATTAATGTTTTTTCGTCTACCTAACCTACCTAACCTAACCTAACCTAGCTTTTTTTGGCTACCTAACCTAACCTTACCTATATATATAGGTTAGGTTAGGTTAGGTAGGGTTGGTTAGGTTCGGTCATATATCTACGTTAATTTTAACTCCAATAAAAAAAAATTGACCTCATACATAGTGAAAAGGGTTGCTTTATCATTTCATAAGAAAAAAATTATAGTAAATAAATTAATTAAGGAAAACTTGGCTTATTAGGCAAATCGGGCCTTGAATAGTAGGCTGAGAAGTGAGTTCTGGCTACTAGGTACGACATATATATATATATATATATATTTATATATATATATATAATATATATATATATATATATATATATATAATATATATATATTTATATATATATATATATATATATATATATATATATATATATATATATATATAATATATATATATATATGTCGTACCTAGTAGCCAGAACGCACTTCTCAGCCTACTATGCATGGCCCGATTTGCCTAATAAGCAAAGTTTTCCTGAATTAATATATTTTCTCTAATTTTTTCTTATGAAATGATAAAGCTACCCATTTCATTATGTATGAGGTCAATATTGTTTTATTGGAGTTAAAATTAACGTAGATATATGACCGAACCTAACCAACCCTACCTAACCTAACCTAACCTATCTTTATAGGTTAGGTTAGGTTAGGTAGCCGAAAAAGTTAGGTTAGGTTAGGTAGGTTAGGTAGTCGAAAAACAATTATTTCATGAAAATTTGGCTTATTAGGCAAATCGGGCCTTGCATAGTAGGCTGAGAAGTGCGTTCTGGCTACTAGGTACGACATATATATATATAATATATATATATATATATATATATATATATATATATATATATATATATATATATATATATATTGCAAAATATATTGCAAAATATATGCAGCATATATTTGCAGAAAACATTAATTGAAAATCTCTTTTTTTTATCACAAAAAGTGGAGATTAGAAATAGATTTTGATTTGCATGAACAATACGTCTCTTTCGAGAGCAGAGTATCTACCTGGCCTTGAAAATTACTCTTCCATGGTCATCAAGGCTTGTAGACACTACAGCTGGCCTCTTCAATACACACTAAATCCCCGGAAACATTGTGTTACGTGTAACCGGACGCTCATTTTCTCTACAACTTTATATAACTATACAAAAATACATTCTAAGGAATGACACAGGAGTCAGTTAAGCTGATTTGATCACATTCTTTACAATATATCCTTTTATCAAAATAATTGTTACATTCTATGAACATCTCATGATGGTATAATCAGAGCTTAAAATGACGTTGAACTAACTTGCTAACATTTTGTCTACACTTCACAAGGAGGTTCTTTTTACCAATTGTTGGTTGGACATTTAGTGAGTGATAGTCGAACATTTACCAGTGAGGAGGGTCAGAATTATGGGACAAATGTTTTAGGGGAAAATATGTACTTAGACTCCACAATACCAACTTTCATTGCACGATTTTAAGGACTTTTACATATTTGTACTTATAGCATTAAAATATTACCAAGGATATCAGAAGTAACAGGTTTAAGTGATGTTTAGGGGACTAGCGTATTGGTTATTATTGAAATACATAAGCAAAATAAAAATAAAGTATTATAGTATAACTTTAGAGAAGGTCGACTAGTACAGGTGCATTCGGCGCTCAGTTAGACGCGATGGGCGCATTCGACGGTGTTATGGAGACTCTAGACGGGCAAAATTGGACCTTATGCAGACTCGTGACGGGAAAAATTAGACCTTATTTAGGTCTGGCATAAGGCGAAGTTCTGCACCTTGCCCGTTCCATGGCAGAGGGCAGAGTCTGCTTGTAGGCCAACCAGCGCCCGGCCCCCGCCCCGTCTGAGGAAGGATACAGTGTTGAGTTAACGAGAGCAGAGCATTGGGGCGATACACACAGCCTGCACGCGTTCCTCTACCTCCTCTCTGTGTCTACCCCTGCGGCCATATTCACGAAGCAGTTACGCAAGCACTTACGAACCTGTACATCTTTTCTCAATCTTTGGCGGCTTTGTTTACATTTAATAAGCAGTTAATTCGCTCCAAAGCACCAGGAGGCTGTTCATAACAATAACAACAGTTGATTGGGAAGTTTTCATGCTTGTAAACTGTTTAATAAAGTAACCAAAACCGTCAAAGGTTGAGGAAAGATGTACACGTTCGTAAATACTTGCGTAACTGTTTCGTGAATCTGGCTCCCGCTGGCCTCGTCCCACATACAGTGTTTACCGAGGAATTGTGCGACGTTTTGGCCTGAACCAAATTGCGAGTTGCGTGGATGCTTCTCCTTAATATCTGGCAATTATATTCGAATGCAAGTATTATTGTTTTGTATAGTAAAGTATACTTCATATACTTTTGCTAATCTGTTATCGTCTGCTCTACAGCTTATACAAATATTTATATAATTACCTTGTATATTAAAATACTGTATTAAAAATACGACTAAAATATCTTCAGGAAACCAATGGTTAACGAGCCATTAACGGCAACTTAGAATTGCAACCATCTACTGTATCATTTAGCGTAAAATGATCTTTATCATTTTGTACTGTGCGCTCGGTTTGGATAATTGGGATTTCAAGCTCCAGTTTGCGTGTGTCGGAGTTCCCGCCGTGTGTGTGGTGTGTCGACTACACTCGGTCCATACAGTCCAAATTCATGTTATATAATTCAAAAGCTTCATGAGTGCTTCGTGAGTTCAGAACCATGTCGTAAAAGTCCAGAATCACGTCGCATAATTACGTGATGGGATTATATATATATACCAGTTTATATGTGATATATGTCCCATAAGACATTGCTTTTATGGGACATAGTTTCGGACTTATGGATCATGATTGGAGATTTCTAAGACACACTGCAGAACAATACAAAGTAGCTGCCATTATACATTAAGGACTGCTATGAAAATTTTTCTTAATTTTAAGAAATGTCTGACGTTCGTTGAACTAAAGTGCAAAAATAATTGACATATGGTTTAATATATCAGTTATAATGACTGCCCTCAAAGCATTGTTTCTTTGACTAACAGCTATTCACCACTAACAGCGTTATGAGCTGAAACGATAATCTAGAAATCATATTACAAATTAATCGCTTTTATCTCTATTTTACCCAATTTCTCTTTTTAATAATGTTGTTATTAACAGTACTGCTAAGGTTACTTCCTATTTCGTAATTATGCGAATTATGTGGCCACTTTTAGCATAACCTTTACTGCTCACTAATGAACATTACCTAACTACTAGTTTAATTCAACTACCAATTAAATACAACTTTTATTATTGTCGTTGCTGTTTCTGGTAAGTTAATTTTCCTCTTCATTTATTTTGTAAGGCTTCTATTTCAATTTCATTAATTGATACAGAAGATGTATAGCAAAACATGTGCACTAGAGCAAGATTAAGTATAAAAAAACCTATGCTTCATATATCTAAATTTAAAATATCTCGCATTTCTAGTACTGAAATCTTACACCAAAAATCTTCAGCCAGCTAAATTTTCGGAAAGCAAAATTTTCCATCCGTATAATTTGAATAACAAAATTTTCGTAATGTTAATATAAGAAAAAAAAACGCCAATTTAGGTCAGAGAACAATCAGCAAGTTGTGCAGGGTTGTGTTCGCCCAAAATACTCTACTCAGGTGGGTATTATATAATAATCATTATTATTCTTATTATCAAATGTCATAATTTATTAACGTCAAAACACACTATGCAAAACTATATTCAGGATTTAGTTGATATTTAGCCTCGGCAACACAAATAGAATTTGCTTAAATCTTGAATTTAGAAGAAATAGTATGATTGATTAGAGGTTTTAAACAATTATTAAGTTGATTTAATCTTTGCAGGTAATTTATACATATTAATAATTAATATTTTAGGTAACATAAATGGTTAGTGGCTCCAAGAGGACCAGTGTGTAGGAGGAAAAGAAGACAAGGAAGACAGGAATGTTATATATGTGAAACATCACCTTCTGAATTATCTCTATTGTTTTAACACACTGTTTCAGCTGTAGAAACCCAAACTGATAAACAATTATTAACCACATACCCCCCACACACAAACAATATACATATATATATATATATATATATATATATATATATATATATATATACACATATATATATATATATATATATATATATATATATATATATATATAATATAATGGCAGTTATCTGAGATGAGCTTTATAACCTGTGGTAACTTGTACATGCATGCAGACGAAAATTACACTCATTTTGTGTTCCAATTCATGTAGCAATTTCGTATCCTCACAATGCCTTTTTACCGTCCTTTAAAAAAGTGATTTATCATATTGATATAAATAATTATTTCCAGGATATATGCAGTTTATTTTTCATTCGATGATTAAGAATATTGTACAATATACTTCTGAAGAATGACTCAGAAGTGTGATGCTTTGTCTCTTAGGTCTATTATCATAGAGGACGAGTTTGGTTTTAAAATTAGGCCTCTGCTTAGAGTTGAAACAACGATAGGTAATTCGGGAGTTTGTGTGCAAGAGCAGTCTTCCTATTCGTCCACAGTCTAGTAATGGCCCTCAGTAGGGATGTCTCATTATCCAGGATTTTATAACTTGCATTTCACATAACGTAATTAACATGGTAGTAAGTTGGGAACAGTGATTTTTTAAACAGCATCATTAACATGCGTAAATCTGGTCTTTACAGCTCGTGATGAGTTGGGGTATGAAATTGTGTTGATTATTTATTACGGGACTAAAATGTAGTCTTTGTGAATGAATGTATGAATGTATGTATGTATCTATATATATATATATATATATATATATATATATATATATATATATATTGGCAGCAGGTTTTCTTTTAAACATGTCTCATTAAATATGACCGCATATTCTGTATATACTATCTTCTGATTTAGGGCTTCTACCCCTCTAACTATTTTCTTAGCATCAGGGCTTAGCTGAAAGAGGAAAAAGAAAAAGGAGGAAGAGGAATCCTCTCTCAGCTAAGCCCTAATGCTAAGAAAATAGTTAGAGGGATAGAAGCCTTAAATCAGAAGATATAAATACAGAATATGCGGTCATATTCAATGAGACATATATGCATTTATATGCATATGCATTTCATTTGCATTTCAGAATAAAACGTTAAACTGAAAACAGGAATGTGTATTCCTCTCTTACACGATGTTATCTTGGCTCAGTTCATACGTAACTGGATTTATCTCATCTCAACTAATAAGTGATATGCCTGATGCCTCCAAAAATTATATTAACAGATAAGATTGTGTAATAACATATAATCAAGCTAAAGTGCATCATAACATTGATATTACAAGGTGAGAAACGTTGCCAAGCAAATATGAGTGTTGGTGATATAAAGGCATTCTTGGACACTCAGTGAATGGCAAGAATTAACAGCAGTCACTAACTGACTTGTAATAACAGAAGTCTATATATAGGCGCCCGAAGCTGGGTGCTAAAGGGTGGGATATCCACAAATATTGGCAGCAACATTTTTGAACTGCAATCAGTTTCACGCCAAGTATTTTAATCCAGAATTTGTTGTGTTATTTAACCTAACGCCAGCTGACATTAGAAATGAAAGAGAAGAATTGCCGATCCTTCGCATTCTCATGGACAGTTTTAATACATATTTAGTATATTTATTGCTAACATATAGAGTCTTCATTGCGCAGACATCCAGTATGGTGCTTTGAGCTAATCTGGAAAATCAATTATTTTACGAAATAATGAGAAAATATATTAACAAATAGTTTACAACGGGCCCCAGTGAGGTCTGTTTTATTTATTATTATTTTGGTTGACGCAAATTTTTAGATCACAGTTAACTTTATATTATTTTAGGGGTAATTATGTATATTTAGTTATCTGTATTTGGACGGATTTTTTATTTATATTTTAATGAAAGAACAGTACTATATATTGTATGTACTGTATTCCTAAAAAATACAGCTCATATTTTCACACACAGGCTGTATTTGAAGTAATGATGCTAGTTGAACTTGGTCCGATAGATTTAAAATCTTCAATTATCTTCGTTTTGGGAGTGTTGTTTAGGTACCGGGAACTGCTGTGTATGGTCGCGCACGCGCGCACACACACACACACACACACACACACACACACACACACACACACACACACACACACACACACACACACACACACACACACTCTCACACTCTCACACTCTCACACTCCTATGTGAGTACAGCTATCTATTAGGTATAGAATCTATTAGGTGTACAGAACCAAGAGTGTGTGTACTCACCTAGGTGTACTAGGTGAGTACACACACACACACACACACACACTCCTGTCCACTTTGGTCCCTCCTCTCAACTGGTGTTCAGATACCTGAGCCTACTGGGCTCTATCATATCTACGTTTGGAACTGTATGGAGTCAGCCTCCACCACATCACTGCCTAATGCATTCCATCTGTTAACTACTCTGACACTGAAAAAGTTCTTTCTAACATCCTTGTGGCTCATATGGGTACTCAATTTCAACCTGTGTCTCCCTTGTTTGCGTACCACCCGTGTTAAACAGTTTATATATTTCTGCCTGGGCCGGGAATCGAACCAGAGTTCTTAGGACTACAACCCCCGAGCGTTGTCCACTCAGCCGTAAGACCCCCAACCTCGCGGCTCTCACACACGATGTGTGTGTGTGTGTGTGTGTGCTGTTCATTAGTAATCATACACAGACAGTTTCTCCCGCCGACGGCCTCCCAGATATCAGGAATCGGGTACTGCTATCGTCAGTAGCCCCCGCCCCTTCAGTGCTCAGGTCAGCCACCAACCACTTCAGGCACCAACATTCTTCACAACTTAAAAGCTACAGACTTCCTCGTCTCGGACATAACTGCCTCTAGGGGGACAACAAATTTATAACAACGATGAGTTAATCTAGAAATAACTTGGGACTAGAATATCTTATATCCAGCTGTTGATGCATTCTTTTTGTCATATTAGCTAACTTTAGTGGGGTCAGGATGGCTGCAGTTCCCATGCAGATGTAACTTTATAGTGAAAAAGAGAGGCTTAGGAGGTGTAGTCTGAGGGGTATCCTTATCCCGTGAGAACTTATCACAGCCCACTCTACTTACCGTAGGGCTCACCACTGTAAACCTCAGCAAAGTCTTCGGGCCCGTAGTCAGCATAGTCGTCGTAAGCAAATCTGTAGATAGATTTGTAATTGACTTTTTTTTCCCCCAGGAACGTATAGGCTCTTCAGATGTAAGGAGACATTTAAAGGCAGTGCTAACATAACTTTAGGATGGTTATCCTTCTTGTCCCTTTTAATACTGAGATATTATGATTGTTGGAAAGTAATTAGGTATTTTTTATATTTATGTCAAATTTAAAGTAATTTAAGTTTAAATATAACACCAAAATTAATTTAAATAATATAATTAACTCTAATATAAAAATTAATAATATATTCCATAGTATTAAAATGTCAAAAGATCGTTAAAATTAGTATTAAAACAATATTAAACAGATTTTAAAGTCGTTAACATCATAATTTAATAACATTTATTTGAGCTGAAACAAACTTGTAACACACCACAGATAGATTATAATATTAGACATTAAAACCGTACAGCATTTTGTGAGGGTGAGTGAGAATAGCTGATAGTTAATTAACTGAAAAATTACTTGATGGTGGACGAAATATTCACTCAGGCCTAAATACTAAAAATCTGAAGAGTTATTTAGACCTTAACAAGGAAACTGAATATATAGTATTTGTTTATGTACTCTTGATTGCTGAAACAATAACAAATAATGAAAGCTACTGATCTACTATTAAAACCAATAATGAACCATAAGATAAGAGGAAGGTACATAATGGAACCTTGAAGAACCTCGCGGTAGATGAAGATATAAGCAACAGTTTACCCATCTACTGCAACAGTAAGGAAGCAAGAAATATATGAACTTGGAGAGAAGAGATTGTGTTTTACCTTGAAAAATGATTGGATATCCCAATATCTTGCCAAATAGATCGCCATAATCTCAAAATGACGCCAACCTGTCATTCATTAAGAGTTAAATGAGGTGATCGCCAGCAATGGGGAATTGAATACTACGATTTATAAGGTTCTGAAGGAGACCAGACGTGGAGAAACCTGAAGAATTTCTTATAGTTTCCCTCGAATTATTTGAGTTTTATATCGAGGTGCGGTGGTGCTGAGGAGCGTGAATGGTGAGACCTGACATGAACCTGACGCAAGGTGAGGAATTACCTGCTTGGCAACTACCGGCCAAGAACCTGAGGACTCACTCTGGGGTCTCGAAGGAATAGTGACGGTGGTCGTCCTCGTGAATGCCGTAGCTGTGGTCGAGGGCGAGCTTGGCCTTGTCCAGGATAGAGAGTACTCGGCGTTTAGCAGGTGGCGGAGGTACTGGAGGCGGAAGGGCGGCTGGCAGCTTCCTCACCAGCGGCGGGAGACCGCGGGCGGCCAGGAGGCGTGGGTGGGGCGGCGGTGCACGCCCGCGAAGACCTGGGGGTAGAGGGGGACCTTGGGGCACGGGTCCCACCACGGCGCCTCGACAGTCTGGACCGTCAGGAGAGAGGAGTTCTGTGGAGATGGGAGCTGTTAGTGAAGGATTAAGAGAGAAGCAGATGTGGTTGACAGCAAGAGAGGTGGAGAGAGGTGAGAGGGGAGGTAAGGTAAGGTTAATTAATAGTGAAAAACGCTGAACCAGTCAGTGTGACTATATAGCACTTGGAAGGGATACGAAGACAACGACCTGGGATATGCGGACGGAATGAATGAATTGTACCCAATCTTCTTCTTCTCCTCGTGTCCAATCACTTACAAGATGATAGTGATCGCTCTAAGGGTGAGGATAACGGTGACTGGCTGTGAGTGTGATAGTGAAGCTGTAATGCCTCACAGCTTGCTGCACACGCGTGGTCTCTCACGGTAGCAATAACTTCCCAGTTTGGAACATATAGTATGCTTACTAGTCACTAAACGGAGCTTCACTATTTACCCGATTCTACACATTCTGTTTACTCCCGGCGTCCCCACGTCCATCTTCCTCTCACCATGACGTGAGAAAACTGGGAGAAAGTGAATGGAATGTGAAGAAAGAGTGGAGAGCTATTGTATATAATTCCATCAACTCTCCACTACTGTGTAACTAGCCGACCACTCTCCGTGTTCAAAATAGAAGCGCATATATACAATCTTATATGTCATCAAATGCTTCTCGAGATGCTGCCTTCATCTGAAAATGATTATTGTTCCCCAAATCTCCATAAAAGAAAAAGCATTACTCTACTCCTCGCGAACCAAAACAAATAACGACCGTTTCTGTACCTCAGACAAAGAGGGAAGATTCCTTTGTGAATGTTGTGTAATTTAGCGTAATTTTTCTGTTCTATCAACAAGATCGCTTTATTCTGATGAAAAATGGAAGAATATTGCGTAGTTGAAGGCTCTGATTCCGGAAATCATCTCAGGAGGAGGAGGACAAATTCTAACCATAACATATTTATCGGAATTCCACTGCTGCTGCGTTTTCTAATTATAATTATTAATTAGGTTATATTTTTCCTCCGATTTCACATATATCCTAAAGAGATAACTTTCTCCTCGACCTTACCTCATATTTCTGGGTGATGATCCTGATAAGATGACATCCAATTTCGATGCTGTCTTGCCAAGAACCCAATGTAAGTGAGCGGTCATCATTGCGTGTTGACAATAACACTATGTGACCACCTGTCTGGGCTAACAATATCTGTGGTACACAATTCCACAGTTGACACTGCCCTGTGGGACCATCCATCCTCAGTTGATACTCCCTCTGTGATTAGAGTTGACTAAACCATTTTATGGTCACTTTTCCTGAGTGATAACACAGTCTCTGTGGCCACCCTGCTGACACAGTCTCTGTGGCCACCCTCCTGACACAGTCTCTGTGGCCACCCTGCTGACACAGTCTCTGTGGCCACCCTGCTGACACAGTCTCTGTGGCCACCCTGCTGACACAGTCTCTGTGGCCACCCTGCTGACAGTCTCTGTGGCCACCCTGCTAACACAATGCACGTGTGGTGGCCTCTTTGTCAGACAACGTCTGTGGCCTCCGCCCTGAGCGGACAGCTTCCATTTGGTCATCATCTTGAACTGACACAGCCTGTGTGTGGCTATTCAACTGAGCCCATCCTGTACCTGAGACGCCCAAATTCCCCTAAATTTCACGTCTCTAACTTTCTCTCTCTTTTCCGTGAAGGTGGAGTGTCTCTCCTCAAGATACACACATGCAGCTCCACTGGTCTCTCACATTTATATCTTCTCTTCCTCCGCTTCTCGTATCTCGCCCCCCTCCTGTTCCCTTCCATCATACTCTCCTCCGCCACCGACCTGAAGACACTAACCATAAAACAGTGACCAGTCGCCACCAATGCTGCATAAAGGAACCCTAAAACTATGAGAGAGCATTTGCTGGGAGGGAAGGTGGTGGTGGTGGTGGTGGGGACTGAGGACGTCGGTTATCAAGGTGAGTGCAGCTTCAACACACTCCCCGCTCTCTATATTTATACACACACCCGGGCTAACGCACCCAGATGGCCGACTCCCTCTGCTTTAGGCGACTTTGATTCAGCAGGAATACGTAAATCCGTAGGTTAAAATGGAATACGCTTGTCCGAGTTGAGGCGACAAAGATAAACTGGGAGAAAGGCCTCTTATTTTTTAATTTTTCTTCATTTATTTCTCACGAGCATTCAGCGAGTGTGTTTCCTGATCAAATCTATTTACAGAAATAGACTACAAACTGTGAATTATATAAATTACTAAATAATTGTTAAACGTGTGCTAGTTACGACGGAACCAAATTGTAATTATTTTTAGAATGTATAACTTTATTTATAATTTTTTTGTCAACTCTAACAATCAACGAGATAACTATGGAAGTGAGCGAGTCCGGATTAACCCGTTAACTTTAGCCATTGTTAAATAGCAACACTCATTGAAGCCGATATATAATGTGTATTAACATACCTGGAGGCGTCAAGGAGGGAGGTGGACGTTCTCCAGTTACGCCGCCTCCACCGCCGCCTTCTGTGGCTGCTGCAGCGCCGCCGGCCGCCTGTGGGTCACTGATCAGCTCCATCTCCCGTATTTGCTCCTTCCTGATGTCGTCATTGTTGTCTGGTACGAGGTAGCGACGGACCTCGGCCAGGGCGTAGGCGATCCGGGCGTGGGCTTCTGCCGGCGACGCGAAGGCCGTGATTTCTACGTGGAGATCCTCCAGAAGGTGGACGTATTTAGGGTCTCCCGAGGCGCGGAGGTCCTCTTCCTGCGGAGGAAAGGTAAGGGTGATAACCAAGGGCATGACTCTCCCCATATTGTGACGCTGAACAGTTTTAAGTGTTGTAAGGAACAGAGATGAGGAAATATTAAGAAGTCATCTGTTTTGTCGTAAATTATTCGTAGTATAGTCATAGTCAGTATTCAACAAGTTCAATAAGGAATATTAATTATGGTATCCTCAGTTCTAATCATATGGAAATGTATTATTAGTTTTCTTATCTTATGTTATGTTTTTGTACATAAAACAGATACAAACTGGGCCTAACTTTCTGAGCATCATAGGGTAATACTGCGTCTTATTGATCCATGACTCAAAAAGAAAAAAAGACGAACGCGACGGTTTCTTGCCCTTTGTATGCTCTACCCTCAAGCCATAGTTGTGACGTCACCAAGCACAAAACTTCATCTCGGTTCATCCATGATGATGAAGGCCCGAGGATCTGATCTCGAGTCTCTCCTGAAGACTCTGCACGAAAGCTTTTAAGATGTATTTGGTTTCTTTGCTGATGATCACCATATATTTTTTTTTACTTAAGATAGATCACAAAACGAACTTCACGGAAGTCTTGAATTTTCACAAAGAACGAAAGACATGAAATATTATAAGTTTTCTCTGTAGAAGAGAAATAGCCAATAGATGCAACAAAAAGAATAGTAATTATAAGAAGAGAGTCCTAATCCAGTACGACTATGTGAAGGGAAACGAAGATAGACTTCGCCTTGGGGTACGAGGATGGATTAAATGAACGGTCCCCAACCTTTCTGAGCCAAAGGGGATCGAATGCCAACCTTGCAAGAAACGAGGTAATTACTCTAACGACCAGTTCAAATCGATATTGAAACAAAACCATGACACTTAAGGTATTGAGAAACAAGAGGTAACCTTCAGTTAAGTAATAACTTTGGATGTCGTTGCTGTCATCACACGTAAAAGTAACAGTATAAGCCTTTCCGTGAGCTTTTGTTAGCGTGTGTTCCTGTGTTCAGGAAAATATAACTAAAATTGCACCTTATTTCCGTGATGTAAATATACACAAGTGCTTGGGAAGGCCGTGATTAATGTTCCGTGTGGTGACTCGTTACAGGGACCAAGGGTATCTTTAATGATTAATAACTTTATCCTTAGTGTATCCTTAGTGATTATTAACTTGTGTCCTCAGCTATCTATTAAAAGTATATCGAAACAAAGACAAATTTTTGCTTCAGGAGCACTTATCCCAGACATCAGCCGAACATCGCTCGGCTGATGTATTCATTATCAACCAATACTGAGATATTAAAGTGGCTCATGGTCACAAACATCTGTGTTTGGAGAAGAAGAGTATCGTAAACAATTGTGTATTCTAGAGCATCTGGTTATGGACACTTCGTGTGTTCCAGAACAGCCGATCATGGTGGAAATATACGAGAGAACGAGCTAAATGTGACAAAAATTAATAATTTGTGAATAGATTATCCAGACAAAAGGTGAATATTTTTGCTGAACGAGGGAGCGTGCCGGGCTCGGGGTATAAAAGACTCGCTCTTAAGATCCCGCTGAAGTAGAAAAATGAACGAAAGTGTTCGATTTTGCAACCCGGTTATTTTCCTTGATAAAAATCCCTAAAAAGAATCTCGCGAGACAAGACCCGGATTGGAAGAGAGTGCAACGTTTTGTTGCACTCAAAAAAAAAGCACTCAAAGTGCAAAAGTTTTCAGTGCAACGAGAAGCAAGGACATAAGGATTCCGTAGAAGAAAACAGTACGGTGAATTGCTGATGCACTGCAATTGAAACCGATATAGTAAAGGCAACAAGACAGCGAATCAGTATAGACCTGGGTAAATACTGGTTTGGAAAGAAGATTGTAGAATTATAGAACACGTCGTTACCGGGTATCGTAACAGTGTAGGTTAGACATAAATATGAATGAATTTGGGTGGATATAAATAGGAGCTCCCACGTATGGGCCAAAAAGCCTTTTCATAGTTTCCATTATCCTTATGTTATTAAGTGCATTGGTGTATGCTGAACACGACAAAAACTTAAGCTTGGAGATCGGAGTAGAGCGTTGATGCATTATGTGGGCATCTTGCCTTCGTGGGTTACTATGCCCGCGGATGAAAGACTGATGAGTTAATACGTATATGAATGATTAACATGAGATACACAACAAGAGAGAGAGTGTGTAAAAGAGATACACACTACAGAGTACAGAAAAGAGTACGACAGAACATTGGAGAAAATAGGAAAGACCGTGACAGTTGCAAAGATTGCAAAAAACACAGGCATATGTCATTTTCTTTGTCGGGGACAGGAAGCCTATATTATACATATCTAAGTCCCCACCCTAGGCCATCCACTGACCTCCCCCAGGGTGCAGCCCACCACAGTTGTCTAACTCCCGAGTGACTATTTTATCGCTAGGTGAAGGGGAAGGGAACTATCAGGAGAAAGCATCAAACCATTTCGACTGTGGCTAGGTGAGTGGAAACGTCAAATCTGTTTCGTCCGTGTATTGAACCCGGGTTCCTTGGTTGTTAGCCGAGAACGTAGACCACTGTGCTACTGAATCATAAGAAATATTGGAAATAGAGAGACAGATACCCAGAAACTATAGTAGTCGCGGGTTAGATAGTTTATCAACGAGGATAAGGAGAGACGAGAATAAATTCTGGACAAAGGAAGTAGTAGAGAAAAACAAAATAACGGAATAAAAGATGATGAACAGTAATAAATAATTATTGCGGGTATAATAGAAGCAAGAATGTGTGGAGGTGGAGAGGGGAGGAGAGAGTGGGGGGGAGGAGGATAGTTAGAAAGGGAGGTTTAAGATGAATATAAATTCATAAATATTATTTATAAGTTATGATAAAAATTACATTGACAACATATATAATACAATTATATTTATCCACTCAGCTATGAAGTTAACATAGTAATTGGCTTTCCGGGGGAACTTTACCATCAATGAGAGCAGCACTTCCTTTTCCATAATATCGGGGAAATTGCCGCCTTTACTTCTCTACATTGCCGGAAGATGGCTACGCTATTTCCCCCTACTACCAAGAGATGGCAGCACTTAGTTCCCAGCCACGCCGCTTTGATGGCAGTACGGCCGCGCTTCTTACAGCAAGATAGCACACATGGGTCGAGTTATTTTAAAAGTTTGGTTCATAAAACACCGAATTCAGACCAAAAAAGCTGGTTACATGAGCATACAAACAACTCTCTCGCTGGCTCTTCATTATTTATATGACTCCCGATTTTATTTTTCCAAAATATATGGCTACCGATGAAAAACAAACTGCTATAATAAAGCTGGAATTTATATGTGCAGTGTACACACACACACACACACACACACACACACACACACACACACACACACACACACACACACACACACACACACACACACACACACACACACACACACACACACACGCACGCGCGCGAACACACAGCACTTCTGTGTGTAGAAGAAGTGCACTTCTGCACTTCTGTAATGAAACGGACAGAGAGAAAGATCTAGGAGTTGATATCACACCAAACCTGTCTCCTGAAGCCCACATAAAGAGAATAACGTCTGCGGCATATGCGAGGCTGGCTAACATCAGAACAGCGTTCAGGAACCTGAGTAAGGAATTATTCAGAATCTTGTGCACCACATATGTAACACCAATCCAGGAGTATGCGGCCCCAGCATGGAGCCCGTACCTTGTCAAGCACAAGACGAAGCTGGAAAAAGTCCAAAGGTATGCCACTAGACTAGTCCCAGAACTAAGAGGCATGAGTTACGAGGAAAGGCTGCGGGAAATGCACCTTACGACACTGGAAGACAGAAGAGTAAGGGGAGACACAATCACAACCAACAAAATCCTCAGAGGAATCGACCGGGTAAACAAGGATAAACTATTCAACACTGGTGGGACGCGAACAAGGGGACACAGGTGGAAACTGAGTACCCACATGAGCCACAGAGACGTTAGAAGGAACTTTTTCAGTGTCAGAGTAGTTAACGGATGGAATGCATTAGGCAGTGATGTGGTGGAGGCTGACTCCATACACAGTTTCAAATGTAGATATGATAGAGCCCAGTAGGCTCAGGAATCTGTACACCAGTTGATTGACAGTTGAGAGGCGGGACCAAAGAGCCAGAGCTCAACCCCCGCAAGCACAAATAGGTGAGTACAAATAGGTGAGTACACACGCGCGCGCCTCCCTGATTGAGAGGCGGGACCAAAGAGCCAGAGCTCAACCCCTGTAAGCACAACTAGGTGAGTACACACAGACACACTCATTTGGTTCGCTTGAGAGGCGGGGCAAAGAGCCGAAGCTCTATTCCCGAAAATACAACTAGGGGTGTACAAATGTACATCTTGTAACCTTTAAATATCAAATAAAGAACAACAAAATACAAAAGGAAGTGGGTGGGTGGGAGGAGAAAAGAACATAGAAACTGTATTGAGGGGGACCTAAACATTCCTTCAAATGTGTTGAAGGGATGTTTATTTATATATATATATATATATATATATATATATATATATATATATATATATATATATATATATATATATATATATATATATATATATATATATATATATGCAGGGGACTTCTTTTTGGCAATCCCTATGTATGCGACAGGCACACGTCTTGATCCGCAGGAGCTCCGTATTGCAGTCGCTCTTCGCCTTGCTGCTCCTATCCACACTGTTCATAGGTGTATTTGCGGTGAGGCAGAGGCAGGCGAATATGGATTGCATGGCCTGCACTGTGGAAAATCTAGCGATTGGCATTCTAGACTTGACGAAGTCAAAGACATCATTAAAAGGAGTTTTGCCCAGACACGCAATCTATTTAACCGTAACTCTGCTATCTTTGCCAGCCGACCAGATGGAATCACACTACGCCCTTGGAAGTGTAGCAGACAGTTGGTGTGGGATTACACTTGTGTATCTACCCTGGCAACCACATACAAAAACCTCTCTGTCGGCCAAGCAGGAGCCGCATCGGCACACAGAGAAAGAGACAAGTTAACCAAGTACAGGGATATAGATCACCTGTTCAACTTCGTTCCAATAGGATCTGAGACCCTAGGTCCATGGGGGAGAGAGAGCGGAAGAGGGTTTCGTAAGGGTCTTGGTTCCAGGCTCATTGACACTACCAGAGACCCTAGAGTGGCAAGTTTTCTCTTTCAGCGTATCAGCATTGCAATCCAAAGGGCGAATGCCCGCTGCGTCCTCGGTTCCTGCCTGGCGTCGGAGGAGTTCGAAGAAATCTACAGCCTCTAGGAAAAAAACTTCCCCTTAATTCCTCTTAATGTTCTCTTTTTGTAAACAATGAGATATGTAACTGTATAACCTTGTATAATAAAGTGTACAACATAAAAAAAGGGGATGAGGACCAAAGAGGCGATATTGACAAAAAATTAATAATTTTGCTGAACTGTGTCTGGACTGTTAGGTAGGAGAAGTGAACACTCATGCGTATTCAGAGTATTCCCTTCCCTTCCCTTCTGAATGCTCCGTGTTCTCTTCTTTGAGGCTGTGGGCTCCCTTGAACCCACAGCCTCAAAGCTCTGTGGGAGCCTCAAATGAGGCTCCCATGGGCCTCCATTATCACCTTCTAGGGCCCTCCATCATCACTTGCCTCGGGAATCCATCATCTGAGGACGCCATCTTCACCTCTTTTGGGTTCCCAACATCACCTGCTTTAGGCCCCCTTCATTGGCTCCTATCAACAACACCCATGGGGACCCCAATCATCACGTCCTCCTATGAGCACCACCGCCTCCTCATCACCTGCTTCTCTCAGTAGCGTCCGCCTCGTCATACAATCGTAATTAAAGACTCGAGTCTCCGTGGTTGGTCCTAATAACATGTTCGTCTCATCAAACACAGCAACTTGGGCTCCCCAACACAAGGAAGTTGCCTTCCAGTTTACTGGTGGGAACGCTGACTTAGTAAGAGCATCTGGGGAATATATTGCATAGTTAGTGTTTACTGCTAAATTACAAGCGCTAGTGTACGCGCACCAACACGGCTTTTCCAAGAGTGGTTTGTACGGAAATCCTGAGTTTGTCAGCCGTGCTATAATTGATCAGTGTTAAATGCTTGCGATACAAATCTGTGTTATTTTGTTGGTTAATATTTTTTTGTATGTGAGGTAAAAGCCTTTGCATATCACATGAAGGTGGGGCATTTGTATTTTTAAGGCTCATCAAAGATGTTGTTGCCATAAATACAACTTCATTTCAATGTCTGCTATGAGAAACGACATTTTATTTTTTAATTTGCTATTTGACTGTTCGCGAAAGAGAGGCCTGGCGATTAGTGTACACGAACATACTAAAACAAAACATTTTAACAAAGGGTGCAGCTGTTATCAGTGATGTTCTTGTAGGCCTTAAAATAATAGTTTCCCGTTAAGGTAAGGTTATTCGTAAGTCAATAAACTAATTCGGAAAGGGAAGTAAGCGCGAAAGAGCACAACCCCTGATCAGTCGAGCCCTCGTGTAGCGCTTAGTATGCAAATTTTCTGTGCTTCCAGGAGCAGAGTTCAGCGCTGCTAAGTTTACGACATTGTAAATTAAATCGTCGCAGGAAAGTGGAAATGCTTAAAGCACCGGCGTTAAAAGTTATTATTTCGTAAGTAACATAAAGTCTTACTTTAAATAGTCTTTATATGTACTTGCAAATACTAAATCCCGCTAAAGTGGCTGAAAATCAATAACCCAACTCGTATGAAACGACAAGGGTCCAGAAAGCTCCGAGACGTCGTCACATCTGTTACGTACGTGTGAGTTGTGTTACATATGTGCTTGTCACGTTATAGGGGAAGGGGGAGGGAATTACCAGGAGAATGCTCCTCGCCATTACGACTATTTAGCACCTGGAAGGGGGGTCAGGATAAGGATTTGAGATGGGACGGGGAAATGAATGGAAGATCAAAGATTTCCAGTGATAATACAGGCAAGACACTTAAAAATTTTGTTTAGTATAACAGAAAATATAACTACAGATAATTCGGCTGTTAAGAGCGACATAAGCTTGGCTGGAAAGCGATTTGGTGTGGGTTCTAGTCCTCTGGGCAGGAAGGATTGTCTTAACGCTAATCCTTAATTGTTCTCCCTGTTCACTCAGCAGTAATTGGGCACTTGGTTGTTAACTGATGGGCGGGTCGAGTTCCAGGGATAACTAGTGGATAAGATTTACCATGAGCTATGAGAAGGGAAAGCTCTCATCAATCTTGTCATGTTTATACATTTTAGAATTTAGTCAAAGGATTACAGATCTTACAGATCTTAAGAGTAAATTATTAGAATAGTGTTTGTTGCTGTTGATTATTTGACTAAATAATTTCAATAGCGAGTTTAGGTTACATAAAGGCAGTGCTAAAAGTAGCATTAGTGTCAGTTATTACAATTACGGAATTAAAGTAGCTTTCTCGTAAGGAGTTGAATAGAGGATAACGGAGGAATACCAGTTTAAAACGTGAATAGTGTCTCGGGTGTGAGTATCTCTGGGGTGTGTGTGTTTGGGAAGGGTGTGTGTGTGTGTCTTTGGTGTGTGTGTATCTCTGGGGTGTGTGTGTCTGGGGTGTGTGTGTCTGAGGGGTGTGTATCTCTGGGGTGTGTGTGTCTGGGGTGTATGTATCTTTAGGGGTGTATTTGTCTGAGGTGTGTGTGCCTCAAGCCTCAGCACCGAAGTGACACTGGCTGTTGACATTGATTTTGTAAATCTCTGGAACTAAACGTTGATATCGTTAGCATCGTGAAGATGGAACATGTCTGTTGAAACAAAGTCAATACAACTCTGTAAAAATTATTCAAATACATTCCTACGGTAACCTAAGCCAATTCAGTCATGTACAAACTAGACCACCAAAATTATACTAAAATGGTCAATATAATCAAGAAGAAACTATTTTAATTCAATCCAGAAGAAACTTCATCACAAAATCTCGTGGTGTCCTAAGCCAATGCAGTCCTGTAGAATCTAAATGTAATCTGTAGAAACTAAGCCAATTAGAGGTTGATCAATAGCCCAATAATGTTGTTCACAGTACTCAATCACAACCAAAAATATATTAAAATAGCCACTATCTGGCCCAATGCAAACTGATGGGTATATTGTCCAAGAAATACTGCCATTAGATATTATATAAGTATTGTTGTCGTAGACGAGAAACGTCTCTGTATGTTAGAGAATATAGTTAATAAAGAGGTATTATTTCTGAGGATTTTAGTACTGTGTTTCATGGAACAATTAGATCGGCAACAGTACAATAAATAGTAATCAACTAGGGAGAATTTATTAATCACTTAGGACATGTATTAATCACTTAGGATATGTATTAATCAATCAGGGGCATAAATTAATCAATAAGGGACATAAATTAATCAACTACAAACATATATTAATCTCCTAAGGGAATATATTAATCAATTAGGGGCAAACATTAATCCCTTAGGGCCATATATTAATCTCCTAGGGGCAAGTACTAATCAACTAGAGGCAAATCAGATGTGTTTTGAGTACAGTTTAAACACTGTATATTAACTGAACCTTTTCATAAATTTCGAGCGGTCGTCATGTTCTTGAGGAGAGCAAACATGGCCTACAATTAAGCAACTCTGATTAGAACACAGCAGTCCAAGGAAGCTGCCTCGAGCCAGCTGTCAAGAGACAGGAAACGTATTACTCTATCAGCGGGAAGAAGGCAGGCGGAGAGCAGCGGAAGCAGCTGCCTGACGGTGATGTAGGGCAGGGGAGCAGCTTCAGGAAGGTGCCTAGCGGCCTGGGAACGGAGACCTCTATTTCATTCACAGTCTGACGGAAGGCAATGATTATTCAGGGGCTCAGCCGGGGGAAATGTGGATGGGGGAGGGTGATAACAGGCAGCTTGTTGACTGTATGCTGCGTGTGGGAGAGCGTTTGCACCGTGTGTGGGGCAGCTGTTCCGTTTGGAGAGAGATTGTGGAATCTTTGAGTGGCTATTCCGTGACAGGGTAGGGGTTAGTTTGTGGACTTTTGTGACGAGCTATTCTGTGTAGGTAGGGGGTTGTAGGTTCTGTGGGAGGCTAATATGTGTGGGTATAGAGCTTATGGGACTCTGTGGGTAGACATTCTGCGTGAGTAGAGCTCGTGACTCTGTGGGGGGAGCTGTTCTGTGAAGGGAAGAGCGTGTGACTCTGTAGGGAGCTGTTCTGTGAGGGGGTGACCTTGTAACTCTGTGGCAATGTATCTGGCCTAGCGAAAGGACTGTCGACAATACATGAACACTAATGAACTATTTTAAACTGTATTCATGTAATCGCAATTAGCAGTAATATTCTCAATTTTTAGGGATTTAAATCCCCCCCCCCATCAAAGATGTCTGTAATGTATTGTTAATTCACCTGTAGCTCTTTGTTTTGTCTCAAATAGTTTCCTTCCCCTAAGTAACTCCTTAAGACTGTTTTTCCGCTGCTAAACACCATATACGCCTGTCCGCTCATAAAAAAAAATATTTCTATCATTCTGCCATGGTACCCCAAATCCGTTATTCCTTGCTTCAGTCAATCACCTCATTCTTAACCTCTTCAGTTGAGCCCAACATTATCTCATCACTATTTCTCTCTAGCCATTAATCTTTCCTTCACTTAGACACTCAGGCTACTAGTCTGAAAATAAAGTAATTGACAACGTTTCGGCCCATTCTGGACCATCATAAAGTCGTTATTATCAATCGTAATAATGTTCTTGAACGGACCCGAAACGTTGTCAGTTCCTTTATTTTCACATGTGTGGGTTAGGTGTCTAAATTTCAGCCCCATTATTGTGTCTAATTGTCTCCCACCTGTTGTTTACCATGCACCTGATGCTCACTTTTCTTCTACACTTTATATACCTTTTGTTTGTCCCTCATGGAGCCACGACCCAGTACTGCCATCTTCGTCAGCGTCTCCTCCTGTAGGCGCTTCATGGAGTTACCTTTTGGGCCCAGGAGCTTCCCCACGAAGTTGAACTGTTGGAGGGGAAATGGTCGAGATTAGTTACACAGTCATTCTGATCACCTGTGCCAAGCTTATTGACGTCTGTGAATTTCTGTATATACAATGTGTGTGCGAAAAGAAAATATTGATGTGACAATACCATCTGAGTAAAGTATACAATAACATATGAGTAAAGTATACTGTATAAAGGTAAAATAAAAAATATGAATGTAGGAACACCAACAATACAACAACTCATCATAATAGAAGCAGAGACATTAAGTTACAGTGAGTCGATAAGTGTTTCCAAGTTTCTTTCCGAAAAATTGCATAATATGAACGAGAAATGAAACGAGACAGAAACAGAAGGTACGAGAGAGAAAAACAGAGGAAGTCGGGAAAGATAACAAAGACAAAAATGAAAGTATACACATATTCAGGGGAAATATATGTGGAAGCCACGCAGAGCGAGGGGAGGTTAAATGTACGTGGAAGCCATGCAGAGCGAGGGGAGGTTAAATGTACGTGGAAGCCATGCAGAGCGAAGGGAAGTCAAATATGATTTATATAAAATACGAGGAATTACTTGACAATTTACAGCGAGAGAAAACTGGGAACTCCAATGACAGATGGGAAGACTAAGAAATAGATGGAATAAGAGAAAATATGAAATGAAAGTGACATTGGATTGAGTTGAACAATAAATTTAACTGAACGAAAACAGACAGGCGAAATGGAGAAATGCAGCAAATCTCGACTAAATGAAAGTAAAACTAAATATCAGAGAAAAGAGTGAATGGAGGGGGGGGGGATTACTTGATAATTCGTAAGCAGGGAGGGAATGATAAATAAACGATAAAAAACTGGCGAAATTGCAAGAACACCAATATGTAAGGAATGCTTGAAACCATTTGTATAGGCAGTAAGGACAAAATGTTGAAATAACCATACAGGAAAATTTGGAGGCAGCAAGAATGAATTAAGCAGGTTTAAGGGTATAAAAGGGAGCTAGCTGCCTCCTATATGTTAATAGGCCTACTGAAATTTTCTTCATTCTCAGGAGAGATCGAAAGTGAACTATGTCAAGTTTAATCTTCAAGGCTAACGCCCACAGTTTTTCTCTGCTCTGATCTCTAGTGCAGTACGAGTGTGACACAAGTGATGTCACACTCGTTGGATATAAACACGAGCTGCCTCGTATGGGCCAATAGGCCTTCTGCAATTACCTTCTTTCTTATGTTATTATGTACAATGCAACAATGCCTTACAGCCCCACACAAGGCACGTAAGTCTGTCATCGCATGAGATGGTGAAAGTCAATCGTCTTACATTTTTGCTGCCACACCCACACAACACACTCGGACGACTCTTCACTCTGGCTACTAGTTACAGAAGGTTAACTTGTAGTAATACCACAAATAAACACTCAAATAGCGTGTGTGTTATATTGCATTAAAACACACTTCTTCAGAGCATCACTCACACTACCTCAGAAACCCCCATTCACTGCCTAACTACACACATTCCCTTCACTGCACCTGACACACACACACACACTCTCGTTACACTCACCACCTCCACACTGGGGTCACCCCTTCCTTTATCTCATTAAAAGTGTTTATAAACCATTATATCTTCCACAAACTATACCTTCATTATCCTTTAAAGCTTTTTTACCCCATCTTGTCATCCCCTGTCTCCATTACCCAGCTGTACCTAACCACTTAATGCAATTATCAATCCTCCACCTCGCTCTTCCCTCTCCATCTAATCTGGGTAAAATGTATCCAATTCGAAGCACATTCATAAACGCAGAGTGTAATTTCCCAGACTCATTCCCTCTCGCAATTTCATGTACATAACCGCAATAGACCTTTTTTATTATTATTTACCACGAGACTAACTAATTTGGACCACTTTCTTTTTCATCACATTTTCCGGAATAAGTTTATATAGGGTGATGTCGACTCTCTCAGCTATACTGATTTACGCAAATAAAAGAAAAAATCACAATTTATTTATATGAATTTGTCATACTTTCACTTTTAATTTTGTTTAATATACGTATGTTTCCTTATTATTAATGATGCTTAGAGAAAATTCAGTAAGATTTGTGCAGTTAAAGTACTATTTGAAGTTAGTTTTCGCAGTTAGGATTGCTGTACCTAAAGATAATACAGTACCAAGTGGTTTAATGTTTACTGTAAGCTGCTGTATTGTTTCGTTGAATATAATAGTTTTGAATTATATTGTATAATATAAAACATTGTATGGAATTTATTATATATAAATATAATGCTGCTTTATATATAATGAAATGTGCATTAAATGCCGTGATTACATAGCATGGTATTGTATTATTTTGTAAAGTATTGTATTGGCTGCAATTGTATTATATTGTGCTTTATAACATACAGTCACCAGGAGTTGGAGACTTCATTAACTCCCCCTACAAAACAGGGCATCAAAGCGAAAGGCTCTGAACAGTTACATCAAAGAGCGCCTCCTGGCCATTAGTATCCACTGGGACAGCCTACAGCACCAATAATTGAGGTGCTTCAAGCCCTTTTGCTCGATATATTGGGGCAAGGTTGTAGTAGGTGTTTGTTCTACGTTGGTGGTGTGTGTGTGTGTTCTGTGTTGTGGTGTGTGTGTGTGTTCTGTGTTGTGGTGTGTGTGTGTGTTCTGTGTTGTGGTGTGTGTGTGTGTGTATGTTCTGCGTTGGTGGTGTGTGTGTGTGTTCTGTGTTGTGGTGTGTGTGTGTGTTCTGTGTTGTGGTGTGTGTGTGTGTGTGTGTTCTGTGTTGTGGTGTGTGTGTGTGTTCTGTGTTGTGGTGTGTGTGTGTGTTCTGTGTTGTGGTGTGTGTGTGTGTGTGTGTTCTGTGTTGTGGTGTGTGTGTGTGTGTGTGTTCTGTGTTGTGGTGTGTGTGTGTGTTCTGTGTTGTGGTGTGTGTGTGTGTTCTGTGTTGTGGTGTGTGTGTGTGTGTGTGTTCTGTGTTGTGGTGTGTGTGTGTGTTCTGTGTTGTGGTGTGTGTGTGTGTTCTGTGTTGTGGTGTGTGTGTGTGTGTGTGTTCTGTGTTGTGGTGTGTGTGTGTGTTCTGTGTTGTGGTGTGTGTGTGTTCTGTGTTGTGGTGTGTGTGTGTGTGTGTTCTGTGTTGTGGTGTGTGTGTGTGTTCTGTGTTGTGGTGTGTGTGTGTGTTCTGTGTTGTGGTGTGTGTGTGTGTTCTGCGTTGGTGGTGTGTGTGTGTTCTGCGTTGGTGGTGTGTGTGTGTGTTCTGCGTTGGTGGTGTGTGTGTTTGTTCTGCGTTGGTGGTGTGTGTGTGTTCAGCGTTGGTGGTGTGTGTGTGTTCTGCGTTGGTGGTGTGTGTGTGTTCAGCGTTGGTGGTGTGTGTGTGTGTTCTGCGTTGGTGGTGTGTGTGTGTGTTCTGCGTTGGTGGTGTGTGTGTGTTCTGCGTTGGTGGTGTGTGTGTTTGTTCTGCGTTGGTGGTGTGTGTGTGTTCTGCGTTGGTGGTGTGTGTGTGTTCTGCGTTGGTGGTGTGTGTGTGTGTTCTGCGTTGGTGGTGTGTGTGTTTGTTCTGCGTTGGTGGTGTGTGTGTGTTCAGCGTTGGTGGTGTGTGTGTGTTCTGCGTTGGTGGTGTGTGTGTGTTCTGCGTTGGTGGTGTGTGTGTGTTCAGCGTTGGTGGTGTGTGTGTGTGTTCTGCGTTGGTGGTGTGTGTGTGTGTTCTGCGTTGGTGGTGTGTGTGTGTTCTGCGTTGGTGGTGTGTGTGTTTGTTCTGCGTTGGTGGTGTGTGTGTGTTCTGCGTTGGTGGTGTGTGTGTGTGTTCTGCGTTGGTGGTGTGTGTGTGTGTTCTGCGTTGGTGGTGTGTGTGTGTTCAGCGTTGGTGGTGTGTGTGTGTGTTCTGCGTTGGTGGTGTGTGTGTGTGTTCTGCGTTGGTGGTGTGTGTGTGTTCAGCGTTGGTGGTGTGTGTGTGTTCTGCGTTGGTGGTGTGTGTGTGTTTGTGTGTTCTGCGTTGGTGGTGTGTGTGTGTTCTGCGTTGGTGGTGTGTGTGTGTTTGTGTGTTCTGCGTTGGTGGTGTGTGTGTGTTTGTGTGTTCTGCGTTGGTGGTGTGTGTGTGTGTTCTGCGTTGGTGGTGTGTGTGTGTTTGTGTGTTCTGCGTTGGTGGTGTGTGTGTTTGTTCTGTGTTGGTGGTGTGTGTGTGTTCTGCGTTGTGGTGTGTGTGTGTGTGTGTTCTGTGTTGTGGTGTGTGTGTGTGTTCTGTGTTGTGGTGTGTGTGTGTGTTCAGCGTTGGTGGTGTGTTTGTTCAGCGTTGGTGGTGTGTGTTTGTACAGCGTTGGTGGTGTGTGTTTGTTCAGCGTTGGTGGTGTCCGTTTGTGGCACGTATGTTTAAGAACATAAATATTGATCGTGCGTCGAGTAGTTAGAAAATGTCTGTGATATGTATTGAGAGGTATTTTGCGTATCATGTATATCTTGTCCCATCACTTGTGTATCTTGTCATTCCTACTTAAGATAGTTCAGAGAGCTTAAAATTCAAGTTATTTGCTGAACTACATTGTTAGTTGTTAGAGAAAATCGCCAAAGAACAATTATATAGTTGTTGATAACATTCCTGAACGTTCTTGGGTTCTTTGCATATTAGTTATAATACTTCAGCTTAATTTTAAGGGATTTAAAGGGATAACGTCTGATGGATGGCCGGTGATTTAATACAAATATAGCTCACAATACGGGTATTGCATATTATATATATATATATATATATATATATATATATATATATATATATATATATATATATATATATATATATATATATATATATATATTTATATACATATATATATATATATATATATATATATATATATATATATATATATATATATATATATATATATATATATATATATATATATATATATATATATATATAGCTCAAAGCATAGATCTGCCACATATGTTGTGGGACATGTGAGGGTCCCAATGTGGTATAGAGCCGAGACATTTACTCTCTGCGATTTGTGGGATTTTG